TATAAATGTTACTATAGTAACTGTATCTGTAGACACAGGCTGGTAGACACTGTTCTGGTTATCTAGTGAGCAGCAAGGTAAAAGAAAAAAAAAAAAGAGACATAGGATTGCAAGACAGCTGTGCTCTTGAGGATCCGAGAAGGAACTGCAGTAAAAGTATTTTTTGCCTTTGTACTAACCAGTGCCTTATTGTATGCAAGAGCAGTATTTTTCCCATTAGACTCTCATAAACACACCATGAAATGTAAACAAATATTCAAGCCTTTAACTAAAGTCAGTATCTGCTTTGTAGAAACTTTCATCTTTGATTTTACTTTAATGGAAGTAAAAACTTCTCAAGCTTCTAAGGACCTGGAATAATAAGGTGAAATAATAAGGTCATTCGCCTAGACTGTGATCACCTGCACAGCTTCAGACGTAAATGCGTGCTGAGCAGCCTCAATAAATATCTGTGGAGTTGCTCACCTGTGTGAAAACAGTAAACGCATTTACAGAATTGAAACTTTAATTTCATTTATATGTGAGTGTGCAAACTTAATGCTGGGTTAAAAATCATTAGCTTACCGTTTAAAGGAGAAGCTGGTCATTTGGGGAAAAAAAAAAAAGATGAAACACAGATCTTGGGGGATGTAAAGGCTACAGCAGCTCCCAGAAAAGTTCAGACATGGACCTTAATGGTCCATAGGAGCCACTATGTTGTTCCAGATGGGACTCTTCCCTTTTAACACTTGTTACCGAAGAAGAGTAGTGGGAAAGCTGAAAGTGAAACTAAGCAGTAACAGTTTCGTTTTCGAATCCGAGAGGAAAGCAGAAACCCAACCGGCATAAAAATTAAATAAAAAAATAAAAAAATGCAAGCAAATTAGGTGGCTGTAACCACACGGCAACTATGTTATTTTAAAACATGATTCAAACACTTTTGAAAAAATTAATTAATTATCTCTTAAATTAAAAAGAGAAAACAACACGGGATTTTTTTGTTTGGTTCTCTCCCCCCAGCTCCCTTTAAATTGCTGCGAAGCTTGGGGCAGCCGCCGCCGAGGGCAGCGGCTCCTCCACCCTTACCCGGCCGCCTTAA